ATTTTTATTTCAATTTTTAATTTTTTTCGTCGCGCTGTGATGATGTCAAATGCGCGCTTTCGTCGAGCGCGATTTTGTGGACTGCGGTTTTGACGGGTCACGAATTAGGCAGCCTTTTTTTCTAAATGAGACATTCTGGATTCACAATTCATCAGGAACATATTTATAAATTCTACTGTGCTGAATGTTGCCAATATTTAAACAGCATTTTCATAGAACTAATTTTCAGTGAACTAAGTCTCTTGATATTAAAAGTTCTCGCAGAAAAAAATAATTTTAAATTATTTTAAACTAAATAATTATAATTAAATAATTATAACTAAATAATAACTAAATAATTTTCTGTGGGTTTTGTTTATACATTGAATCTCTCAGGTCAAGAGGTCTTTGGGTAATTTAAATCAATTGTAAGTCAAGAGGTCTAACGTTTTCAAGGAAATGATGTTAGCATATTTGACAAATCCTCTCTTGGTGTATTGATCAGATTTTAATCTGAATGGAAATAAGAAGTGCCATCATCTATATATTCTGAGATGTACCAAAGGACCTATTTAATAAATGTTATATTTTCTGGTGGTAATACTTTCATTAGATGTTAGTTCATTAACTTCCTGTTCCTAGACAGTTTTGGCAGAAAATTAAACAACGGAGGCTGTAATTAGTAAGTGGATTGGGAACTATTCCAGATCTGTAAATTAGACTGGGAAGTAGAAAAAACATCCTGCAAAGATATTCCATAATGTGTCCACGTATGTCACAATACCTGAGCTCAATCTTAAATCAAGTTTATTATACTGGCTTTTATGTGTTTTGTTTTATTTTAGATATAGTTTATAAATCTGTCCCAAACTACAAATTATTAATACATAAATAGAAGTCTTACTCATTTTTGCAATTAATAACTTGATGGTTTGGTTTTATTTTTTATTTTTTTATTTTTATTTTATTTTTATTTTTAGATTTAAGGTAGTGGCCTAGAAACATGAATTCTAGATCTCTCTGAGGTATACAAGCTGGGTAAGATGTCTCAGCCAACACACTTTGTAGGGTGGGGAACATTGGAGATAGANGCACCCTAACCACTGCGCCACCTCGGCTCATTTTTGTCTCGTAATTTGATAATAGAATTGAAGCTTGCTTCATATATTCATGGATTTAATTATCTAATTAAGTAAATTAGCTGCATTGGGTCTTAAGTGGTTCTGTAGAACTTTCTCCCATTGGGAAGGCAGGGATGAAAAGACGGTGGGTGTGGATTTTTTCTCTCTCTTTCCATCCAAGAGTGAATTCAAGGAAAAGAATGTTTAAAGGGATTATTCTGTCCAGACAATCTGTAAAATCACCAGAGTACTTATAAAGGAGATATATATGACACAAGTGACTTGCGTTAGGAATGAGAAGTGATTTGCTTTCTGGATTTAAATGTTAATGTTAAATAATAGAGCCTGTATTAAAGCAAGAGTATCATCTTAAAAATGGACCGCCACAAAATGTAGATAAAATAGCCTTGTGCTAAATGCGTTAGCTTCCTACGTTTTTGAACAGTTCAGTTTTATTTTAGAAAGTCAAGAAATCTCAAGATCACTAAGGAACATAAAATAAGATTGATGTGAAAATGACAATGCACACCGACACAGCTACTTTGTGACCTCTTGACTTTACAAAAATAAATGTCCAGGAAACTAACATATTTAGCACAAATTTATTCTATGATTAGCACTGATTCTTCCAGCTCTCTGGAAAGTCTGTATTTCACCCCACAACAAAAGCACAAAGGGAGGTTTTAACATGGAACTATGTCCATGATTGTAAGCAGATTTCTGCTGAAATTCAGATGAACACAAACAAGAGACTTATTTTAGTCTTTTTCTGCCCCTAAGAAATAAATGTAGAAGAAAGCAGGAAGTGAGCCAGCAGGCACAATCCCAGCACACACACACACACACCCATGATATTGTAAGAAGAGTTCTACTGGAAATTACTCTTTTATTCTACATTAGTGCAACTTTTCGTGGAAATTCACATCTTCTTGCATTTCACGGACTTTGATCTTTAATGCGTGCCGATTTCCCTCATTATTTGCCTCTAAGTGCATGTCTGTGATACTCGATATCAATTGAAGAGTATCCCTTCAGGCGTCAGATAGAACAGGCTTATGCTGTACAAAAGCTTACACAACAATAAACCCGTTCATCTTGAAAGTATTAAAAACTATGTCATATCTGCTGCAATAAGACAAAAAGGAGCACACTCAATAATCTAGACACCATTATTCATAAATCCCTGAATAGTAAATATGGATTGACCACAGCTATTCGAGATGGGAGCAGTTTGTAACTGAATTATGATGAGTGTACTTTTAAGATTCTTTTATCTTTAAGTGAACATTTCTATTTTAAATAACTGCTTTTCGATGGCCTTTCCTTAGTTTGATCAGGCAGCTAATAATGAATTAGCCTGGGTTGACAAAACGGAAAAGAAACTGATGTCTCTGGGTGACATAAGACTTGAGAGGGACCAGACCTTTGCTCAGCTCCAAATTCAAAAGGTAAACAAACTCCATTTTGTTATATGTTAAACCAATTCTCATTAAAAAAATTGATATTATTTATATTGCGTGTGTTACGGTCAACTTCCCTGCTACTCTTAATAGCAATCTGTTTTGTGGTATGACTAGGGGTTTACCATGGAAATTTTGAAACACAAGGATACAATAGAAGAACTTGTTTCATCTGGGGATGAGATCATGAAGACATGTACAGAGGAGGAGAAACAAATTATGAAGGTAATAAGGCATTTCTTGCACTTATTTGGCAATGGATCTGGATATCTAAACACCGATCCAATTTTTAAAACTTGTGAAGCAACTGTTACTCCTATGCACCAGCTAGAGTTCACCTTCTATGACTTAGGAGGCCCACAGAGGTAGTCCACCTTGATAGGGAGAAAAACAGAAAATATATTTGAATAACTGCTCATTAATTTATATACATGAATGCTCTTAGTAACGGTTACGATGAATTTACTGGTTTCTTGTAGAAAATCCACACACACATTTTAGCCATTGAGTGCATAGTAAGGTGTTCTGACCCCCCTCCTCCATCCAGTAACGAAAGCCGAGACAAGCGTAAAATGGAATGTCCTTTAATAACAAGACCAGGATCTCGGTGGCTGAAAGCGAAATAAACAAACAGATAAGGACCTTGGCAGCAAATCCGACAAACCTTGGCAGCAATTCAGACTAACTCTGGCAGCAACCCAGCCTGCCAAGTTCGTTTCTCTTTATCCCAAATGTTGACTTCTGCAAGAAGGGCATGGCACAAGCAGTCTGTTTTATAGTCTGGAGAGTAGCCTATTGAACATCAGATGAG